GGGCGTAAGCGTTTGGCGGTCCTTAGGTACTCGAGATTCTTGTGATCAGTGAAGATCAAGATGGGGTGCGAGGCACCTTCCAGCAGGTACCTCCATTCTTCGAGAGCTGTTTTGATGGCCAACAACTCTCGATCGCCGATATCGTAGTTCTTTTCTGCTGGGGTAAGTTTCCTTGAGAAGAACGCTACAGGATGGAGCAACTCTTTGGTGCCCTTTCGCTGGGACAGGATGGACCCCACCGCATTCTCTGAAGCGTCTACTTCCAAGATGTATGGCAGGGCAGCGTCCGGGTGGCCCAGAATGGGTGCCGAGGTAAAGAGTTTCTTCAAGGCCTCAAAGGCTTCCTGAGCCTCCGGCGTCCATCTGAACCGGGTTCCAAGCTTGGTCAACTGAGTTATGGGGGAGACCAGACCCGAGAAGTTCTTAATGAACTTCCGGTAGAAATTCGCAAAACCGATAAACCGCTGGACGCCCTTCTTGTCCGCGGGTACCGGCCACTCCAAAATCGCCGAGACTTTCTGAGGGTCCATTGCGACCCCCGCGGTGGAGATAATCAACCCCAGGAACGTAATGCTAGGTTGCTCAAAGCAACACTTATCTGCCTTGGCGTATAACCCATGCTGACGTAACCGCCCCAACACCCTTGCCACATGTATCCTGTGATCCTTCAGGGAGGGTGAGAAAATCAGTATATCGTCCAGGTAAACGATAACGAAAATGTCCAGGTAATCCCTAAAAATATCGTTTACGAAATGCTGAAATGTGGCTGGTGCATTGCACAGACCAAATGGCATGACCAGGTATTCAAAGTGCCCAAATCGTGTACGGAACGCGGTTTTCCACTCGTCCCCCTCCCTTATGCGAACTAGGTTGTACGCCCCCCTTAGATCAAGTTTAGTAAATATGACCGCAGTCTTCAGGCTCTGAAATAACTCTGGCACTAACGGTAATGGGTAACGATTTTTAATCGTGACCCTGTTCAGCTCCCGGTAGTCTATACATGGTCTCAGAGATTTGTCTTTTTTTTCCACGAAGAAGATCCCCGCCCCTGCTGGCGAAGTGGAGGGACGGATGAACCCCTTCTGGAGACTGTCCTCTATGTATTCCTTCAGGGCCCCCAATTCGAGTTCCGATAGGGGAAAAATTCGCCCAAAAGGAATCTCAGAGCCGGGTAACAGGTCAATGGGACAGTCATACGGGCGGTGGGGGGGCAGGGCATCTGCTCCCCGTTTACTGAACACGTCCAGGAATTCATGATATTCTGTGGGAATAACCTGTTTCAGATCAGAATCCCCCTCGGAGCATAGGAGGACCTGGGGGCCTGCCGGGCCTGAAGTGCGGCAGTGTTCCTGACAGTATGGGGAAGGGAACAAGATTGACCCGGTTTCCCAGTCAATTTGGGGGTTATGGGCCCGTAACCAAGGGAGCCCCAAAATGACTGGGAACAGAGGTGACGCAATGGCATCCAGGCGGAGGAATTCCCGGTGTTGGTTGGCAATGGTAGTGGCAATGGGGGGAGTTTCCTGATTAACCACTCCTGATTTTATCTGGGAACCATCGGCCAAAAATATGTTAAAAACCCTCTTTCTGGGTTGGAGGGGAATTTTCTGCTGACGAGCAAAGTCTAAATCCAAAAAACAACTGCATGCCCCCGAATCAATTATGGCTGTCACTTCCACGGTCCCTTTCGGGGAGCTGAAAGGAGAGGGGTACAACTAAGTATTGGGAAGGACTGACATTGCCAATAGACAAGGAAGAAAAAGAGGTACACTTACTCATTTTCTGAGGGCAGGATCGTACCATATGACCGGCTTCCCCCGCAGTAGAGGCAGAGGTTCTGCGAGCGTCTCCCGCTGGTGTTCTTCTGGCGATAATTTGGGTCGAGCCAGGCCTAGTTGCATGGGTTCTGGAACATCTCCTGGGAGTGGATTCTGGATACTTGGTCTAGGTGGTTGGCTGGGGCCTAGGAATGGACCCCAGTTGTTTCCACGACCCTGGCCGGACCTCTCAAACCTGCGTTCCCGCAGTCGTCGGTCAATCTTTATCGTCAGGGCAATTAGGTCCTCTAATGACTCAGGAACCTCTACCCGGGCCAGCTCATCCTTTAGGGGTTCTGATAGCCCCATGCGGAACTGGTGCAACAAAGCAAACTCACTCCAGCGAGTGTCCCCCATCCAGCGCCTAAAATCTAGAGCGTATTCCTCGGCCGCCCGACGGCCCTGTCGGAGTGTGTATAAGATTGCTTCGGCAGAAGCAGCCCGCTGCGGGTCATCATATAGGATGGCCATCGCCTCAAAGAAGTCCTTGACTGTTCCTAGGTGTGGGTCATTGTTTCCCCTTAACCGATGGGCCCAATCTTGGGGTTCGCCCTGCAACAGTGAGATTATAAATCCCACCTTCACTGATTCGGTCAAAAAGGTACGGGGTTGAAGTTCAAAAAATAGGAGGCAGGACTCACGGAATGACCTGAAGCGTGTGCGGTCCCCGTGAAAACGCTCCGGTAGGGGTACCCGGGGTTCCGCCATAGGTAGCGGGGAGGAGGCCCCTGATGCTGGCTCAAGAGCAGCCGGGGGTGCAGAAACTGGGGCCTGTGGGGCTGGGTCAGATAGGGAGCAGGTCTGGAAACGGTGCTCCAGCTGCATGCATTTATCCTGCAGGGCTGCTACGGCCTGCGTCAGGTTAGATAGATGTCTGCAAATTTCTTCCAGCGGGGAGGGCCCTCCTCTAGGCTCAGTCATGGCCTTCTGGTACTGTAAGGGACCGCCTGGCGACACCACTAGCACTCCACTAATCAGGCGTCCCCAGCGCACGGAGTCTAAGTCCCAGAGTACTTGTTCACCAGAGCCCCTGATGGTGGGGATGGACTTGGAGTACCCCGGGACCAGGTCGTGCTTACTGAGGGCACCAGTCAGTGGTAGGGGTGGTCGCCAGGGGCCCCCACGGGAGAGAGCCTGATATGAGGAGGTCTGGGAACCCCGCTGAGAGGAATGGATGGATGGATGGATGGATGGAGGAGCAAGTGCAGAGTCAGGCAAGCCGGGTCGGTAACGGGGAGGACAGCACGGTACAAGGCAGCGGGCAGAGAATAGTCGGGTCACACGCCAGGTCATCAACAGTAGGTCAAATCCAATAGGGGACATACGGAAGAGAGGTCAGGCAAAGCAAGGGTCTGGGCAGGAGAATTCAGCAGTGGTCAGGTACAATCCGGGTCAGCAACTTACAGGTTCAGATACAGGATACAGGGCAAGGACAAGACCAGAAGGCACTGAATGACAGCTCAGGGCCGTTTAAATATCGCGCCCTGCGCTGCCATTGGTGCCCAGCGGGCGGCCGCGGCTCCTATTGCGCATGCGCGAACTCACGCGCCGCGGCCGGCCCGGACCTAGAGCCCGCGTCCCTGCACAGGGCGGCATACTGCGCCTGCGCCGGGACCATCGCGGCGGGGATCGAGGGGATCCCTGACAGTTAGACACTGCAAACATGAAAAAAGAGATGGACACTGCAAACATGAAACATCTCTTTTTTTAAGGGCCCCCAGTGGTGCCATAATCTGTTAGTATACACAGCATATTAGCACATTATGGTAGACATACCTGTCAAACTGAGCTCTCCAGCGCTGCGCTGTGATCGATCTGGCGGGTCAGGGCACTTCCATCTTCACCCGGTCATCCTTCTGGGTTCAGTGCTTTTAGCCACTTGAATGACTGGGTGGTGATGATGTCACATCTCAGAGGCCCAGATCAGGGCTGTAGATGTTTGCAGAATTGCGCATGCTTGGCTCAGTGTACATGATGGCTGACAGGCAGGAGAAAGCATTTATGACAGAAGACACCAATAGGGTCTCTTCTGTCATAAATAGCCTGTCTGTCAGCAAGTTTTTTAAAAACAAACTTTACTACTGCTTTAAAGAGACCCATTTCCCTTCTATTATTGTCCGCAACATTCCTCCCATAAGATTATATATCAAATTACCGTGTTTCATGCATTTAATCTTCCTGTAATTATTGAACCTATTATAGTATTGAACGGGCCTGAGGCTGCTGCTGGGCGCCACCATCTTGGATGCATCATCAACAATCCCAGACAGGCTCTCTAAATCTGTAGTAATCCCCTATTACTTTTTTTTATGTTTGAAGCTCACTTGACAGCTTCATATTTATGTGATGACAGGGCATAGGGGCTGGTAGTAGGAGTTTGTACACAGCAGAGTACTGAGCAATGACGATGACACCTGCTCCTCTGCACAAATTATAATCCCTAAGGTGTGCTGGTCAAATGGGGTCCAGAGGGTCCAGTCTTAAGGAGATAGCCAGAAGATGTTGGTATAATTTGGAGTGTCCACCGGAAAACAATGGAGGAAGTTGGGAGAGTTCTTATAGTGTAGTAATTTTTTCTGATACTGGTTAACATCCTTAACCACTTCCAGACCGGACACTTTTACCCCCTTCCTGACCAGGGCAATTTTCAGCTTTCAGCGCTATCACACTTTGAATGACAATTGCGCGGTCATGCAACACTGTACCCAAATTAATTTTTTACCATTTTTTTGCGACAGATAAAGCTTTATTTTGGTGGTATTTATTCACTGCTGGGATTTTTATTTTTTTTGCTATGTAAATGAAAAAGTCCACAAATTTTGAACAAAAGTGTTTTTTTAATAGAATTTTGCAAATAAATAATATTTCATCATCAAATCTTTGCCAAAATGTATTTCGTTATCTTTTTAGTAAAAAAACAAACAAAAAAACAAATTAGTTTATAACCAAAAATTATAATTTTTAAACATTTTTTTTTTACATTTTTATTTTATTTTTTTATATATATATATTTTTTTTTTTTTACATACGGTCACCCTAGCAGTACAGTGTCACCATGGTGACACTGTACTACTTGTGGGGAGTGATGAAGATTTTTTTTTTTTTTTTTTTTTTTTTACAATGATTGCTTTTACACCCATATAGGATGTAAAAGCAATCATTTCTCTTTCTCTCTGTGTGCATTCCTGCACTCATTGAGAAATACAGAGTGAGCTGTGATTGGTCACAGCTTGTCACATGGTACAAGGCTGTTGTGAATAGCCTTGTACCATGTGACCTCTGTGATCATTCACAGATTTCACACGTAGTAAGCAATGATGTCACAAGTGACATCTTGCTTACTACTTTGCATGTGATCACTGATTGGCCAATCAGTGATCACATGATCGGGACCTCGTACAGAGGTCCCGTCCGACGATCGGTGTTTCACTGTGTCCGGAGGACACAGCGGGCACCGGATCGCGGTGCTGCGCGCTCCCAGGGAGCGCGCACAAGCAGGGTGCGGGGAGGCCGTTCATAAATGGCCACCCGACCCTGTACTGCCACCGTCCGGCCGTTTATATGCAACGGCCGGTTGGGAAGTGGTTAATAGAACTAGAAGAGGGAAGAAAAGAAATTAAAATGACTTCCTGTTAAGGCTGTGGTCACCCAATGGCGTGGGAAACCTTCCGAGTGTGAGCATGGAGAAAACCAGTTGGTGGTCGCTCTCTATGCCATCTGATTGTCATCTGTCCTGGACGGTCTCATCCCTTTAAGGACCGGAGACTTCTTGCTTTGCAGAGCAAAGGTTTATTTACCACATGTCGGGAACAATAGAGAACAACTATCGCTCTGAGCAATCTTCCTCTGTGCAAGGACTTTTAAAGCCAGGAAGATGGACAAATATGTCCCAAAACATAGGCTGACGTTATGTAAAATTTTACAGAGCCAATGAAATGTACACACTTTATACAGACAGTAAACAGTTAACATTGTTTTTTCCTACAAGTTCAATAAGCCTGTTGCCCTCTGGCTGAAACCCAAATAGGCTAAATGTTCTGATTGACCAGCAGATACAAACTAACTTATGACCAGATAATGATATTACAAAAATATTAAGGAAAGGTTATCTCTGAATAGCAGATGTCCATATCTCCTGTGAAGGGAGATGAGATATGTCCATCTGTAATGTCCCATATACACGATCAGAATATCGAATGAAAAAAATGCCGCTTTTAAAGTGATCGTACAATAATCTGATTGTTGGTACACAGCAATCGTCCGAAAAAAATAAAAGGGACAAGTACAAAACATTTTATTGTATGATACCGGATCGTACGATTTTTTGTTTAACCAGTATAGTAGTCGTCTGAAAATACATTACATTCTTCACAATTTTAATTTTTGTCAAAGAATTTTGCAAACTTTGGTAACCTCTTCATTTTTGCTATGAGAATAGCATGCAAAAAAAAGGACGATCATTCGTCCGATATTCTGATTGTGTATACAGGGCTTTAGTTAGGAGTCTTGGCTAAATGGAAGAAACAATCAAAATGCTAGTGATAAATCTCTTAAAGCCCAACTCTGGGCGAAAAAAAAAAAAGTTCTACCTTGCTGTGCCCGCACTTCAATGGTTAACTGCTTATTTTTGTCTAGGGGATTTGAGCAGGGATCTATACTTACCTAATCCTCTGATCATACCTGCACAAGACTGGTCCTGCAACTCTTGACCACCCCACTCCACACAGTCTATCATTCTTGTGCGGTGGACTGTTCCTGACATCATTGAGTCCCTTGACCTGCTCTGGATGTGAGGACGTCTGGACCATTCCACTGTTGGATCATAGGAGAATGCCACTGGATTGGAAGCTTGGGTGAGTGTAAGCTTTCTGGTCGTCCCTGGACAAAAAAAAGGCTTAACTCATGTAGTGTGGGCATAGCCCCACTGCATGGGAGAACATTTATTTTTGCTGGAGTTGGGCTTTAAACAAAAAAAAAACCCAGTAATAGTCTCTAATGTGTGAAGTCAAAGTTTCAGCTTATGCAAAATCCACCTCACATCCAGGGTCCTCTGTTATTTTCAGGTGGGTATAAGGAATGAGAGTGCAATGGGAGTTTGCGAATGAGGCCCCATCGGCAGAGGCGCCCGAAGTGAGGTGTCTAAGAATAGGTATGAGGAGCCTGTTTTTCATTCCCAGGCAAATGTCATACATGCCAGGAGTCTTTAGGAGGGGAGGAGGGGTTTTCTCTGCTAAGCACACCCTCCTGCCTACATGTCTGAGCTAAGGGCAGATGGAAGTAACTGCTACAATAATCATCTGCCCTTACTCAAGGGCCAGAAATGCTAGGAGGTGTTTTCCAAAGTGGTTTCTATGAAAAATAAATCGTAGAGACATGGATGGATGGGGGAGTTAAGCTGGCTATACACATGTAGATTTTCGGACGAGAATATTCATACGAAAATTCTTTAAACATTCGGTGAATTAATGAATGTCGTTTGAAAATTGTCTTTTGCTTTTAACATCTGAGTTTAAAATGAATGTATTTGCTGAACGATCACCACATACACTTGTAGTGGATTGTGATAGACAGTCCACGTTTTATTAGATGATCAGTAAAATGACAATTTTATAGTCTTGCTACTTTCTGTTTCTTGCTCTTTAAAATTCCTTACTCTCTTAAGTAAACAATCAGATATAGGTTGACAGAACAATGATGATAATTAAGATGGCGTCTTCATCTGGAGTCTCACCCTAGGTGACTCATTAGGAGAAAAGTATCTTTTAATGTAAACAACCCCCATAAAAGGGAATGAGTCTTTTTGGGGAAAATGATTGGAAGATCTCAACACGGATGGAAGAACACGCAGAAACCCAGTGGACCCAATCAATGTATATGCTTTGCCTGCATCATAAGCCCTATAAATGATACTGTTAGTTCCTCAATAAAACAGAATTTTAGGAAGTTGACAAACTGCAACAGTGTCAGTGTCTTTCTTCCACGTGCATGTAATTCTATATTATTTTGGCTCTCTGGTAGATCACGGTAAATGGTCTGTAAGTGACCGAGTCCAAAACACACTGTCCGAAAATTCTTTAGATTGAGAAGTTTTCCTTCCTGCCCCTTCAAATTTTCCCGTCACTGCTGTTGAAAACTAACATCGATTTGACCCCGCTAACGATTAGAAAATCAAACGAATATTCTTGAAGCTAAAATTCTCGAACTAAAATTGATACGTGTATGGCCAGCTTTAGCTTTGAATATTCAAATTGATTTCCATAGTGTTTTTGGCTTGTGCTGCTCAGATGCAGTGTAGTTCCACTTTAAGGAGCACTCCCTGTTCCAGGCAGTTATTAATCTAACTTAGAATTTTTGGAGTGAGAATCATGTTTCCCATCATTTCTTCTGTCATGTGGAGAGCGGCTGTTGTATATACAAAGCCTTTATAGGTCATGTCTTTTAATGACAGGCTGTTTGTATGACTTGACTTAGTGATCTTCAAATTTCAAGTGCACCTTCTCTTCTAATTGTGCGCTCTTCAGATGTTTACCATAATCCTTCTTTAATTGGAGGCAGCCACAAACAAATATATTTTGCCTTTTAAAATGCTGAGTTAATCAGGAACATATTTAATTTGGGAAGTGCAGTGGAAAATGTTTCCCTTATTAATGAGATGCTTTGTTCTTTCCAGAGGTTTATTAACATTGTTGATTCAGAGTAATTTAGAGGTGTCAGTACATGATGATATGGACTGCAGCTGTTTCATAATCTCGTTTATGGTAGTTTGTTTTCAGTGTTTTAGAACTACTTTTCAAAGATCTTCTAGTGCCTTACGAAAAAAATATGGCAGTGTACTCAAATGTGATGTTATCTTTACTGCTTTCCCACCGCCCTATAGCAGATATACTGCTACTGGGCGGCAGGGGTGCGCAAAATGACGTGTGTGTATATATACGTGATTTTGCATCTCCAGGTAGGGGGTGCACGAGTGCCCTACCCGAGCTGCTATTTGCGGTCTCCGCTGTCAATCACCGGGTCCCGCCCAGTGATTACTCGCCGACACCCGGTGTTCGCTGAGCATTACCGACGGGGAGCGAACTGTATGTAAACAATACCGTTCTCTTCCCTGTTGGCTCCTGCACACTGCTTTGTATGGCTTTGCATAGCAGAGCCATATAAAGCAGTGTGCTTACAGTTGAAAACAAACACACTGCTTGCAGTAAAGCTGCACAGTTAACCCTTTGATCGCCCCACATGTTAACCCCTTCCCTCCCAGTGCCATTAGTACAGTGTCAGTGCTTTTTATTTGCACTGATCACTGTATTGGTGTCACTGGGGATGTCAGTGACACCAAGTCAGTTCCCCCCAGTGTCAGAATGCCTGCCGCAGTCCCCCCAGTCGCTGATTGCCACCGTTACTAGTAAAAGTAAAAAAAAAAAAAAATTCCAGTATATATACCGCCATTTGTAAACGCTATACTTTTTCACGTAAACCAATTAATTTACATGTATTGGGATTTTTTTTTTTTTTTTTTTTTTGCAGTAAAGACATGTAGTGGAATACATTTTGGCCTAAATGTATGACAAAATTTGTTTTTAAATTTTTTTACTGGACATGTTTAATAGCAAAAAGTCAAAAATGTTTTTTTTCCTCAAAATTGTCGGACTCTTTTTTTTTTTTTTTTTTTTTTTTTTTTGCAACAGCAGAGCTGCCCCACTGCTCCAGATCACGTACATTTACATGATCTGGCATTTCCGAATAGGGGGGCACGCATGCGCACGCTGCCCCTTCTGTGCTGTCATTTGCTGCAGCACAGGCCGATCAGCAGGTCCTGGCTAATGATTTATTGCCAGGACCTGCTGATAGGCTTAGCGAATGACAGTTCAGAGCCCTGTGTTTACTAAGTACACAGGGCTCTATGCGGAGTGCAGCAAAGTGCTTGTTTTTTTTTCTCCTTGTAACAGGTTACCAGTTTACAGTTGGAGGCGGTCTGGTGCTAAAATTATTGCTCTTGTTCTGACGTTCGGGGCAATACCTCATATGTGTGGTGCGATCGCTGTTTACATATGTGTGCGGGATCTTTTGGCCGAGCACGGTAGATGGGGGCGCTTTAATTTATTTTTAAATTTTTCAATTTTTACACTCTTTACATTTTTTTTTAAATCACGTTATTGCTATTGCAAGGAATGTAAACATCCCTTGTGATAGCAATAAGCAGTGACAGGTCTATTACACCCCAGATCTCTCCTGAGCTCTTGAAAGCATCTGATCACATATGACTTGTTTACATGCCGGGGAAACTAAAAGTGACCAAATAC